GCATATGATGGGAGGCAATGAGGATCCGGAAGATGAAGCATAATGTCAAATCCCCTCGAACATGGCGACTCTGGACTCCCTGTCTGGTGCTCTTTCCACTCTATCATGCACTAGTTAACTTTTCATGACCCCAGTGCAAATGTCTCATCGGGAGTCCTCCAAAGGTATGTTTCTGGTAAAAACTGGAAACAGGAGAGGCTATGGAAAAATGAATCCAAATGCTACCTCCACTGTTGCTGGGACTGTATGTTATCAACATACACTCTCAAAGTAGAGGGGGCAATTATTTCTTAAGACTATTCTGCTCTTCCCATATGGATGCAGAACTTCATGGAAATTTATCTGCACGATAGCAATGAATATTAATACTGTGGTCACAAATACTTAGGATTTAGACATACTTGAGAAACTACTGGGACACCTCAGTTTGTTTCCAAGTCTACTACTAATTATCTATTTTAAGGATAAATCTTTAAAATTAACTTGTAGAACACCAACACATAAATGTAGAAGAAATGAAAAAGAAAGAAAATTGCCATTGTACCTCTCCTAGTAGTAATTGATTCAGGCAATAATCCTCAAAAACTATCTACTGAAGTCTGGTGCCGTGGCTCACACCCATAATCCCAGCACTTTGGGAGGCCAAGGTGGGGGGATTGCTTGAGCTCAGGCATTTGAGATCAGCCTGGGCAGCATAGTGAAACTCTGCCCTATAATATATCAAAAATTAGCTGGGTGTGGTGGCTCGTGTCTATACTCAAAATACTAGGTAGGCTGAGGTGGGAGGATGGCTTGAGCCTGGGATGTTGAGGCTGCAGTGAGCCATGATCACGCCACTGCACTTCAACCTGGCCAACAGAGCAAAATCCTGTTTCAAAAACAACAAATAAAAACCTCACAACTTTTGAGTGAAAGTTGGATGAGAAACAGGACAGGATATTTACGTAATCACAAATACCTCTCCATAGAGTACTTATTAATCACAAAAGGGAAAACAGTAACTCTTCCAAGGGGAAGCTGACACATACCATCTTAACTCTGTGAGGAGATATGGCCAATAACAGGATAGAACAGCTTCATAAGCCTCCTGATTGTAAGGTACACATGGAGAAGGACAGAACCCCACCTATCATGTGAAATGAAAATGTTTCACAACTGGAAATTAGGGGCTGGGAAAGGTCTGATTTATAGCATTAGTTGATGTCAGCAGTGTAAACACTCCCACCATGGCTGATTTCAAGCTACCAATATAACATCACAGAACATGGAGTCTGAACGAGATGTGAGAATTGGCTCTCATGAGCTGGTACAAGCTGGCTCCGGCACATCATGGTGGAGCACTCCTGTCAAAAATGTATTACTAGAGCCATTCATGAGGAACCACGAGGCAGGTCCAAACTGAGGGATATTCTATAAAACATCTGGCTTGGCTGGGAGTGGTGGCTCACACCTATAATCCTAGCACTTTGGGAGGCTGAGGTGGGCAGATTACCTGAGATCAGGTGTTTGAGACCAGCCTGGCCAACATGGTGAA